GCTTTTAGCTGGCATTTTGTTGCTTTTAGCTGGCATTTTGTTGCTTTAAGTTATCCTTTAATTGCTTTTAGCTAACATTTTGTTGCTTTTAGTTATCCTGTAGTTATTTTTAGCTAACATTTTGCTGCTTTTAGCTGGCATTTTGTTGTTTTCAGTTAGCCTTTCACTACGTTTAGCTTCTAGCTACAATTAGCTACTTATACCTTTTAGCTAACCTTGTCCATACATTTTACTTCCAACTAGCCTTTTATTACCCTGATGCATGCTCAATAATCCAGGTAGAAAAATCCAAAAAAGTTCAATCCGGTCCTCTGGACATTCCAAAAAGGACCAGATTTAACTTTTTTGGAGACTTTTATTACATTTAGCTCATAGCTGGTGTTTTGTTACCTTTAGCTGGTGTTTTGTGCTGTTGAGTTCAATTCCTGAACCTCAGATTGAAAACGCAGCATATGCAGCTGTTTCCTTATTTATTTCCGATCAGAAACTTTACGACCCAACTTGTGGTCTGTTGTGGAAATAAATTGAGCCTTAAAAGCACTTTTCTCCACAATGATGAGAGACAGTGGTTACAGTCAGCGAAAGGTTTTATTCCCTGGTTAATACTCTCTAAAAGTCAAAAAACTCATGTCGATTCTTGAGAAATTGTACTTTTTCATGCTAAATCCTACAGAACACCGATACAGAAGCAACTAGGTTACCAGATGTGATATTAAAGCAGGAGAGAAGAGGGGTGATAAATGTTTCAGTAACTTGTCAACACCAGCCTCACTTACTGTAGCTTCGTTGCAGACGGTGCACTTGACCACGTGCTGATGCAGCTTCCCGTCCAGGTTGATGATGGACTGGCAGACACGGCAGTTGATGACGGGCACTCCGCTGGCATCGGGGCTGGCGATGGCCGTGTAAGGAGGAGGTAGTTCGGCTTTGAGCAGAGGAGAAAACACACAAAGTACGACTTTTAGTAGCAGCAGAAGCAGAAACCACATCATTCTGCATCTTTTTCAAAGGGTGCGCCTAAAGGCTTAGATTCTAAAGAATGTAATGATTTTTTTATGTTAGAATATTAGTTGTATGTATTTTTAGGCAGTGTGGGAGTTCTTTTTTTAGATAAATTTCAGTTCATAAAATCTTGACAAAATAATAGAATCATATTTGATAATTCAGCAAAAAATTTTCCCATTAACCTAAAAAGCCACCAAACAAATCTACCAAGTTTAACATTTTCATTTAACATTATGAAGGAGGTTATTAATAAATTTAAATAAAAAAACCTCAGCCACGGTTATCTGAGACCTGTTTCTCTTGGCTCGGTGCATCAACTTGTCCTAATGCACGTCTGAAACTGAATACAACAATTAAAGGTTTTGACTCGCAGTCCTCCGAAGTAAGACGAGAAGCAGCAACGTGCAGCCGTCGTCCTCCTGCCCTGAAGCTGCCAGCGTCGATGGCTGCGGCGCTCGTGGTCTGTAAAAAACAGCTAAACAACCAGCTTGTACCAAGACACCAGCTGTGTTTGGCTCAGTTTTTTTAAAGAGGTTTCTAAAACAACTGAACGGTAGTTTGTGTCCAGCTGTCGCTGAGGTTTGGCTCGACTTTCACTCATGACTCAAACTGAAGATGACGTTAAATTTCATGGAGTTTATCTTCATTAGAAAACCTAAACGATGATGGCAATAAAATAAAGATTTTATTTTTTCTCACGACTAGACTTTAGCTGACCTTTTGATACTTTTAGCTAATATTTTGCTGCTGTAGCTGTTAGCAAGCCTTTTACTACTTTTACCTTCTAACCAGACTTTTGCTACTTTTAGCTTAATATTTTGATGCTTTTAGCTAAACTTTAGTTGCTTTCAGCTAGCATTTTGGTGCTTTTAGCTGGCATTTTGATGCTTTTAGTTAACCTTTATTTACTTTTAGCTGGCAATTTGCTGCTTTTAGCTGGCATTATGATTTTAGTTAGCCTTTAGTTGCTTTTAGCTAGCATTTTGCTACTTTTAAGCTAAACTTTAGTTGCTTTTGCTAGCATTTTGCTGATTTTAGCAGGCATTTTGTTGCTTTAAGTTAGCCTTTAACTGCTTTTAGCTGGCATTTTGTTGCTTTAAGTTAGCCTTGAACTGATTTTAGCTGGCATTTTGCTGCTTTTAGCTAACCTTTAGTTGCTTTTAGTTAACCTTTAGTAAATTGTATCTGGCAATATGCCGCTTTTAGCTGGCATTTTTCTTTTAGTTAGCCTTTGGTTGCTTTTACCCACCATTTTGCTGTTTTTAGCTAACTTTTAGTTGATTTTAGCTAGTATATTGCTACTTTTAGCTGGCATTTTGTTGCTTTTAGCTAACTTTAGTTGTTTTTAGTTGCTTTTGCTAGCATTTTGCTGCTTTTAGTTAGCTTCTTTTAACCAGCATTTTGCTGCTTTTAATTAACCTTTAGTAGCTTTTAGCTGCCGTTTTACTACTTTTAGTTAGCCTTCCACCATTTTTAGCTTCTAGCTACAATCAGCTACTTACACCTTTTAGCTAACCTTTTCTCTACATTTTACTTTCAACTAGCCTTTTATTACATTTAGCTCATAGCTGGTGTTTCGTTACTTTTAGCTGGTTTGTTACTTTTTCTTCTTAGCTGATTTTTTTTTTGTTGTTGCTACATTTGGCTTTAGATAATTATTGTTCTGCTCCTCTTAGCTTTTAGCTAGTGTTCTGCATCTTTAAGCTTTAACAATTCAAGTTCAGCTTCTTCAGAAAATTTCTGCAAAATCATTCATGACTGTTCAAACTTCATTTTCACAAGGAGAGTAATTATTATTATTATTATTATTATTATTATCATCATCATGTTCTGAAAGACGCTGCTGTCAGTCAGTGAAGCTGCTTGGATTATTCGCTGGCTGCTGAAATGTGTTTATCGTGTTAAAACTGGAATAAGCTGTAATTTTTTTTTACATCGTTATATTTCTGCACATTTCGATGCGAGTAGCAGATTTTTTTGACAATTAAGACTAAATTAATCACATTTTGCAAATTGGCTGAACTCAATAGTGGAATGAGCAAATAATCCAGTCTGCAGAAAGGGCAAAGGGAAAGCTCAAGCAGAATTTAAAGCCAGAGAAGCAGAAGAGAACGTGCACGTGTGTGGTCATGCTTTTTTCAGCCAGGCTTGAAGTGAATTTCCTTTTGATGCAACTTTAACTGTGAATATGATCAGAGCAGAGATCAAACCTGCTCAACGATGCAAAAATCCTGCAACAGGGAGTCATTATTTGTTGTTCCCAGCTCCACCCCCATGTAAACAAGCAAACTAACAGCAGCCATCTTCCTGGTTTCTTGTTACTAAAGGACACATCTGGGACAAAAGGCTCCCCTCTCCTCCATCATCAGTCTCCACGAAGGCCCACATCTGTGGAGGATTTCTCCTCAGCTTCATTGTTAGGCTGCAGGAACATCTCGGGCCTCGGGGGGGTCGTGTAAGCATTTCTGCCCACAACAAGCCTCAGCTGGTGTTTTTGTTGCAGGCCCCTCTCCTCCTCTAACCCGCTGCTCCGGTTCTCGCAGGGCACAGCTCCACCCTCTCCTCAGCCGCAGCTGGACGGCCTTGCTCCGTTTTTATTTACACTCTCAAACCCGATCCGCCCTGAAAAAAAAAAAGATTCAGCAGCACACAGGCAGAGGGAGCTCCGCTGCTTGTGTGTTTACCTCGGGGACTTGGATCCTGCAGGTACGGGGGAGCGGTGGGGGTCACATTCTCGGAGTTGGGGCCCGACAGCAGCGGAGACCGCTCGTCCATGCCGTCGGAGGCCATGCCGTTCACCGCGACAGACGACGGAAGTCTTCCCGCGGCACCTAGAGCGGGACAGCCGGCTGCTGCGCTCAAGAGTAACGAGTTGCTCCGGTTCCGATTCCGAATTGCGCCCGGCGGGTGACGACGACAGCAGCCTGGAGGAGGCGGAGCTCCCCTGTGGCCCCGCCCTCTATGAGGCAAGCGCAGCCTCTGGCAGGGGGCGGAGCCTCCTGAGTGGATAAATGCCGCTCACTAATAGAGCTACTGTAAAATACAGTAATTTAAACATTGCACGATTTTTACTATAACTATTGGTGATTTTCTGCAGATTTAGTGTCGTGTTTAGACATTTAGATATCAAACCGTTCAGCTCAATCAGTAGATGAGACTTAATTTATAACTTTTATCAATACTTTTCTCGGAAACACACATTTCCAACTCCTTCAAAACACAGTTCTTTTTAAAATTAGCTTTTTTTTTTTGTTGTTGTATGCTGCTTTGAGCTCGATTGTATTCTACCGTTATGCTTTAAACTAATATTGTTTTGCTGTGTTTAACTTATAGTTGCTATTTTTTTACATTTATATTGTAGCTAGCCATTGATGAATTAAAGTTTACTGTTATCTATGAACACATATCCTAATGTTACTTTGATTATTATTTAAAATAAGTCAGAGGTTTATGTTTGAAATATACCTTTTCCAAAATCAAATTTCAGTTGTCTCGCAGCCTGAAACAGAAGTTATTGCTTATTCTGACCACTAGATGTCGCTGTATAATCAGACATTTATACTTTATTACTGTACAGTATATTAATATTTTTACACTGTTTTAGACACATATACATAGTTGAAAATTATTATTTTGATATGTGTGCCTTTTCTTAGACTCATTTTATTTTTTCAATATAATGTTTTTTATTGGTTTTAGATATTGACATTTATGTATATGTTGTAACTTTTACATGTGTGGCTTTTTCACCTTTGATTGATTTTATTTTTTTTATTTATTTATTGTTAAAATTGCGACCATCAAGATGGCAGGGAATACACACTCCTAAACCAGTCTCCTAAACCCATTTAGAGGAAAAGGAAAATCCAAGTCCACACATTAATAACATTAATAGCAGCATGACACAAAATGGAAAGTAAGCCAAAGAGTTTCAACCAAATCTGCAGGAAAATGCAAAATTATTATTTTATTTTTCGACCATGCAGAATATTATTTATACACAGATAAGGGAATCAATGTAATGTTACATATTTTGTTTTTTTATGTTTTACATAAAAAAAAGTGAAAATTCATCCCCAGCACAGCTATCGTTACACAAACAATAAATTCAATTTTACTAAGCATTTTCTCTCCAATCCTCTGGACTTTATCTTCCAATAATTCTGCAAATAACAAGCCTGAGATTGCATATAGCTCATCTTTGTCTTTGATTTTCTTGGAAAAAAAAAAAAAATTCAGAAAAAAAACTTTTGGAATTTAACAGAAAGGTCATAAATGGACATCTGATATAATTCACTCCTCCGACATGATCCTGAAGTCTCTGTTTAACACTTTTAAAGCCAATAAACATGACTATATTCTGTTCCCGCCACATATAAGATATATTTATATCATGTTTTGTGCATCTTTTTATCGATTTGAAATGTTTTACATTATTTAGAACTTCTGACTGAAAATGCAAAATGATGGTGGATAAAAAAAATATTTCATTGACTGTAACCAAAAAAGTCCATGCTCAATAATCCAGGTATACAATCCATTAATTTTCAGTCAGGTCATCTGGTCATTTCTCACTGACTGTCTTTTTGTTTCAAACATTCAAACCTTTAAAGTTTGAATTAACAAACCTGTTGTCATTTTTAGTCCCATTTCTCTAAGCTGTTAAAACCAGTGCGTACAGGTCTGTGGGTGGTTGGTCTGTCTCCACTCAGATCAAGTACTTCAGCAAAGAAGTTTGTAAAGTTTTAAGTTTAGTTGTTGCGCCGCAGACTGAGTCTTTTCTAATCTGACTGTGATAATTAAAGGTTAAAGTGTAACTCCTGAGCTGATTAAAATGTTGCTTCACTGTGTCAGAATTCAAGTTGTCTTTCTTTTAAAACCAGAGAAGATATTTGAAGAAACCTAAAATAACAATATGTTCAGATTTTAAGAAATGAGGAGGAAATTGAGAAGTTTGAATCATTTCAGAGAAGCTGTGCTTCAGTTTGTGCTTCAACCAAGGAGAAATGTTTCAATTTAACCAACAAAGTTCAGTCAGGTCATCTGCTGTTTTTTTTTTTTTTTTTATTGAGATGTTTCATCCTTCATCCAAAGTACTTCATCAGTCCAAGGAACCACAACAAACTGAGTCCCACAAGCAGCACACTCACATAGTGAACCAACCAGTCCTTTGGACGAAGGACGAAACGTCTTGACAACAACAACAAAAAAAAGAAACCGTCCAGATGACCTGACTGAAATTTGTTGGATTTTGTACCTGGATTATTGCGCATGAACTTTGATGTTTTGAACCACTTTGGCTATGGCTGCCTCAGAGAAGTCAATGAGTCAAAGAGTGCGGGCCCCAGAAACCATCTTATCACCAGCAAACTGGTGGGCTCACTATGAGTGTGCTTTTTGTGGGATTGAGTTTGTTGTGGCTCCTCGGACTGATGAAGTCCTTTGGATGAAAAAAAAAACGAAACCATCCAGATGACCTGACTGAACTTTGTTGGATTTTTTTTTTTTTTTTTACCTGGATTATTGAGCATGAACTTTGATGTTCCCATTGAACATTTCTTTAAAACCTCTTGTTCTGCTGATTGAACGATTATTTTAATCTTGTATCAGTCCCAGGTTTTTGAGGAAGTAGTACAAAATAAGTTTGACAATCCCTCCTCAAACTTAACTTTTAAGTGAATTCCTTGTGTCTCGTTGCTCCAAACATCTACAACGCTCTCGGTTGTTTTTGCCAAAATCTGTCCCATTCCTTGTTGCTTATGTCAGAGTTTAAACTTGGGACAAGACACACACACGTCCCGCTCAACTGACAACTCAAACAACTCATCTGCTTTTAACTGTTTAGGCACATCCCAAAAGATTTTCTTCTTTTAAATTTGCAAAGTAAAAACAGTTAAAAACAGAATATTTAGCTTTTGATATCAAATCCAAGCCTTGCTGCTTCTGTTTAGGACACTGCAACAAAAAACACTTCCTTCCACACGAAGAAAATGAGAAACAGAACTTGCAACGAAACAAACAAGTCGTGGCTGAAGAAGAGATTTGCTGCAGGCCGTTTCTTTATTTGTAAGTGGGACGACATCCAGCAGCTCGTTGGAGACGAGTTTCACATCATCAGACTTCAGCTGCCAGTGGAAAACCATTCAGACGTCACCACGCTGAAGTCGACTCAGTTTTTCCAACATCCTCAGGCTCTGGAGGACACACACTGCTTCTGTGGCTGTTTCTCCTGAAGGTAAGACCATTTATAAACAGAACGCATGTTAACTTCTGCAGAACTGCTGTCATTCACACTGAAACTGTCCAATGTGCTGCAGCAGTTTAGATTTATTTTATAATTCACTGCCTGCTGTGAAGTCTTGGCTTTGAGTCTCGTTCTTTGCATCATTTCATTCCTTCACTTTGAAGGTACATGAGGCTAAAAATTGTTTTTTTTCATGTTTCACTCATTGTCCTATAAACTTATTGAAAGATATTTGTCTGTCTTCAAGTTTTAAACGCCTAAATGTTTTTTTTCCTCCAGCAAGAGTCCAGAATATATATTTTAAAACTTGTCTTTTAGTGGCAGCCTTGTTCGTTTTCTTGACTCACAGCGTTGGCTTTTCAGGCCTGCGTCTCAGCAGGAAATGACCATAAATGCTGGAAAAGCTGCACCACCTAAAAGGAATTGTCGTAATTACGGAAAAAGCTGCGCTGCCTAAAATAAAACACTAAATATGAACCAGTGTGCACAAGTGAAAAAGACAGTAATGCATATAAATACTGTATAAAGCTTCTGTAAAATGCTTTTATTCTACATAAAATTAACAACTCGTTTGCTTTTCAAGAAGAACCCAGAAAGTTTTCTCAAGTGAATAAACGTGTGATGCTTCCTCTCTAACCAGGAGGGGTTCTTCCTGTTTGGAGATGCTCCAGTGGACCAGGATCAGGATCTGGCTCTGCTTCTCCTGCTGCGTCCTTCTGAGTCTATGCTCCACCGAGGAGGATGCAGAACCTCGGCCCACTTTCCTCTCGGAGCAGGAGTCAGGGGAGCCAGACCTCGAGGACTGGGAGCTGGGTTCTGGATCCTCTCTGCTGCACCTGCTCCACAACTTCCCTGCTGACAGTCCCTTCGTCTCGCACTCCCCAGAACACCCAGTCAACTGCACGCAGCGCTTCTGGTTACCACCTGCTTCTCCAGTCTGTTGGGAGAGCATAGCTGGACCCGAGGAGTTTGCCAGGTCCCGTCTGTTCGTCCTGCAGAACAGAGCCGCCCTGCAGGCCGTGCTCACCATGAGTGGCGTGGAGGAGACAGGACTGTCCTCCACCCATCAAGCCAGACAGGAAATCCTGGGGATCCACTCAGACCACCAGAAGATGAAAGAAACGATGCAAACCATGGAGACTGTCTTCGTCTCTCTGAAAGAGAAAAGGAAGGAGGGGAAGGAGCAGGATGCTTTCATTAGGTGAGCAAAAGAGAACTGCTTCATCCTCTTTGGTAGAAAAACCTAAATTGCTCATATTTATTTTAAAAACAAGACCAAAGCATGAATACTTTGATATAATTTATACTTTGATCGGTAAATTCAACGTTTGGCTGAATTTCAGTCCCTCTGGATCTTTGTCGAAGGTAAACGAGCACACACAGTAGATGCGCATCTGGTCATACATTCTGCTTTCGTTGAAGACTACATTTGGCTAAATTGTACACAAAATGATAACCAGGTAAATAAACATTATAAAATTGAATGTACTTTCTTTTTTTTTACCTTCATTTTAAATAACGGACTACACTAGGAAGTAACTATTCAGCAGCTGTGGTCCTGAATCATAATTAATAAGGTATTTGTGTTGTCTGGAAACAATATGGCTCGTTAATCCCAACAGATTACTTCCAGACGAGCTCAAACATGAGTCTGATGAGGTTTGGGCTTTAAAATCTAACCTGATGGTTCTGCTATATTAAATGTAAGAACAACCTTCTAGTAGATCTACTGTGTCTGTGCAGCTGTGTCATAAAGTGTGTTATTTATCATTTCCTGTGAACAGCTTGAAGGAACGCCTTGCTGTTACAAGAGAGGCTATAGACTGGAGACAACATGCGGTGAACAACCTGGAGAGGCAGCTCTTTACTTTGGAGAGAACCCTGCTCAGCTGTCAGCTTCGGCTCAGCAAACTCATCCGACAGTGAGGCTGCTCTTGTTTAAGCTGCAGGTCTGCTACATGAAAGCAAAAGTTATCGCGTCTACAAAGTTGTTGTTTTTTTTGTTGCAAACTACTTCTGCATGTTTTGCTTTTAACTGTTCATCTATCAAAATGTTTGGATGGATCATACTGGTGTGCTGTGACTTTTCAAATTATTTAACTTTATTTACAAATGTTTTCCCGGCAGAAATGCATTGAGGTCGCTCTACAACTGGTGGCCCGCGGGCCAAATCAGGCCCACGGATGAACTCGGTTCGGTCCACCAATGGGTTCATTTTAAATTAAATTAGATTTTAAACCAGAAAACAAACTTACTTAATGATAATAACTGATGGATGTCCGGCCCGTGAGCTCTTGGCTTTCAGTAACTGTGGCCCCATGAGCAATTTAGATGAATAGCCCTGCTCTAAATCCTTCAAAACACTGTTCTCTGAAATGTTTAGCAATCTTACTCTAGTTGTCTCGTCATTCTTTTAGCTACCATTTTGCTAATTTTAGCCACTTTTGCTCATTTAAACCTTTAGCTACTGTTTAGCAATTATAGCTTTTTGCCTTCTTTAAATTTCCAGTCACTGTATTTTTACAGATAAGTCAGTGTATCTAATATTTTAGCATTACAGCTAACATTGTTTAAAACCTAAAAGTTTGAACAATGTAGCAGCTAAACAGGTTCATGACGCCACTTTTCAAACATTTTTATAGCTACATTAAATAACTCATTGCTCTGCAACACAAATGTAAAACTTTTAAAAGAATAGTAAGCTGTCAACACTAAAGAGTTCATTTTTGTCAGGTTGTCATAGAAGACACTTTTTAATTAAAGCATTTGTCTTTATTTGATATCAAATCTAAACAAAAAAAAGGTAAATAGATACACGATGCATTCTGATATGTACAAATGTAAAAAAAAAATGTACATCTGCAGCTGGTCGCACTTGAAATAAAAGGTACTTCTGATATAATCGAACATTTTTTAATGTTTTTATGAGTTCAACCACATTTTCAAAAATGTTTAACTCAAAATCAACAAAGATCCATTTTTAGATTCTCTAAGCAACATTTCTACAACAAAGCTTTCACCCAAATTAGATTTTAGGACAGTAGCAGGCGTGATCCTGCTGAGTGGAATGGGTTTCCACGGTTTGTCACTCGGCTTATCACACTGCTTCCAAAAAGGCCAAATGCTAATGTAGGTGCTGAACTTAGACGTCAGAAACTTCATCCGATGCAAAGTTTTTTTTGCTTTAGAACAAAAATTTCTTCAACCTTGTTGACCTTGTTGTCCAAAGAGCTCGACATGAACTCAGTGTCTAAAAGGACTGATAAAGTTCAAAGTGTCTGCCGACAGTCACAATGCTCATAAAGACACGTACATGTAATAACATAAGTCCAAATAAGGGTAAAGTCATGTTCTTGTCAAAAATCAGCTTCTTCGTCTTGCATTTGCTCCAACGACTTGAAGTAATCTCGAGCCAAGATCTTCTTTGGTAAGATATCTGCCGAGTAAAACGATCAAAGGAAATGTTACAGAATGAGAACATGACTGTGAAAGAAGCTAATTAAGACTCGTTGCTTGGGATTTAAGGTTTTAACACTTGGATTACAGAAACATTCAGTCGTTTTCTTTTTTTTTTTTTTTAACAACATAACCGAGTTTAAGAAACTAGAGCAGTAGAAAATTATTCCAACTTGATACAGTGGGCTAAAATAAATCTCAGTTTCAACATTACAATAAAAACTACCACTTTATTTTCCCCTATTTACAGGAAAATGTTGATTTTATAATGAGGTCGGTAGATTATGATGTAGAAGAAGCGCGCCATGTTGTTTTAAGCTGTGTTTTTTTGTTTTGTTTTAAGTTTCTAATAAAACTGCAGGGCTACAGTGCTTAATAATTTGTACACATCCTTTATGATTGTCCATTATTGTCTTTGTTAGAATTAGGTCTCTCTTGTAAAGGAGTCCCCAAGGCTCAATGGGATTAACCTGCATAAATAAAGGTTGAATGAATTAATTAATTTTCTTAATTTTTTCCAACGTTATATTTATTGTATTTTGTTTTAATGAAGGTGTTCAGGTTTAATGTTTACTTTAGAAATATTTTGAATTCAAGTTGTGGTTCAAAAACAGTAAAATATAGTCTTTTTTTAATGAATATATCAGTGAAGGCTGGTAGGTTTAAAGCAACATCAAAGTGCATCTGACAGAAAATAATAAACAGTTTGTCCATCAGGTGTTACCTGGCTGCAGGTGAGTCGGTTCATTGTGTCTCACCTGTGAGGAAGTGGAAAGTCTCGGTCGCCTCTGCAGTTTTAGCCAGGTCGCTGTAATCCAAAGTGTTGGTTTCTCTCCCGGAGCTGTTGGTGAATGAAGTCAGAGCCAAATGCTGCACGAACAGCTCCTGCAACAAAGACACAAGTCAACAAGTCAATCTACAGAGCTCCAGCTAAAGTTTGATCCTAAACCTACTTCACTCCAGCTAAGAGCTAACGATGCTAACCCAAGAGACAAGAAACTGATCATTTAGCATGGTTAGCATTCAGCCGCCGGGAGCTTCTTACTGTGGCCTTGGTGGTGAGAAAGAGAGCGTCCTGGTTAATGCTGGAGACATCCGGGGAGCTCTTCATAATCAGCTTCACCCGAGACATCGGCAAAGAAATCGTCTTTCTGGCCTCTTGAGTTTTGTTGTCCTTGTCGGGTTTACTTTGAGACATTTTTGTGTAAACACGGCACCAAGAGGAGAGAGCGAAAACTTTATATTGTTTTGAATGGTGACGTAATTAATTTCTTCTTCGTCGCTTTTTATTCCTTTGGCGGTCTTTGCTCCGGTCTAGCACCTCCTACTGGTGGTCAAGGACCTTTATTTATGCAGGTTAATCCCATTGAGCCTCAGGGACACATTTACAAGAGAGACCAGATTTTTTTTTTTTTTTAACAAAGAGTGATAACAACAGTGGACAACAATGACAATAGCCTATCATAAAAGACGCGTACATTTTTTTTTTTCATGATTTTTTTTATAATGATCATGGAGTGGTGGCGCAGAGGTCAGAGAAGGTGGGCCTGTGATCGGAAGATCGTCGGTTCACGCCCCGGTACCGACAACATAAAAAAAAATTGGGTGTGTTAGGTGAAGCACCCACACTTGCCTCCACCCTCATTCGCCCCACTCAGGACTCATGAGAAAGGCCCTTAACCCCCATCTGCTTCCTAAAACAGGTCTCTCTTGAAAATGAGTTCTCGTGGCTCATTGAGACTACCTGGATAAATAAAGGCTAAATGAAAAAATATATATATCAGGATTGGTTAGTGCGCATAAATACTGTAATTAGGGAAAATCTGTTAAATAACTTAACTGGTATTTATAAAAACATTTTTTTCTTATTTTATTTCATCATGACGTTTGTTCAACTCATTCATCCATTCCTGATGGTGGCGCTCTCTCTCTCAACTGACCACAGAAGAAGAACCACCACAGAAGAAGAATATTAGCATTAGCTTAGTGGCTTCAGCGATGGGGCGACTAAGTAGTTTAAAACACAAACCGTGTGGATTATTTTTATCGGTTTGGGTGTTTTTATATGACTTTTGAGACATTTAAATTTAAGTTGTAACCGATGATAAAGTACGCTGGAGCTACATTAGTGAATAATCTACTAATTGTGAGCAGGCGCGCGTCGAGTAGCTTCCTCTCATTGTTATTGAAAACTGTTGTGTTAGTTTTGCTTTTTAAAGAGGCGTCGTTTTGTGACGGACAAGAATGCCTCTAGGTTTGAAACCGTGCTGCTTCGTCTGCAAGACGAACTCTTCCTCGATGTGGAAGAAGGGAAACCAGGGTGAAATACTGTGCAACAACTGCACAGGGAAGAGCAGCTGCAGCGGAGGAGCTTCAGGACCCCCCGTCCCATCCAGCCTGCCGCCCAGCAACGGAGGGGGAAAGCAGGTCAGTTACACCGAGGAAAAGCTTTATATATAATGAAGTTTTTGTGGCACATTTGTACTTTTGCACCCCAGTTTTCATTCATTTTTTTTGAAAAATATAAATCTGACTGATGCAACGGGACAAAGGTTCACAATTAGCGCCCCCTGGCGGCTCAAACCTTCATAAATAATGTGCACCAAGCATCTCAAACTATTAAGATTGATCAAAAGATATTAATAGATCTTAATTATTTTTGCTGTCCCTGTATGGATTAGATTGTCTTCAAGTTCTTGTTTTCGTTGCATATTTGTTTTTTGTTGTGTATGTGTCTAGTTTGCCTAAAACACGTTTTAAAAATAGAAATAAAATTGACAACATATATGGGGAGAAATATCAATATATCAGTACCGTCTTTATTATGAACCTCTTGTCACATAAGTCAAATGGTGTGTTTTTTTATACTAATACATTAAGGCAGAATATATAAAATGTGTTCATTTTAAGTCCAAACAGGAGATACACAGGAGGTCTGCACGGCTCAGAAGCACCAAGTACAAAGCCCCTGCCTCTGAGAAAAAAGTTTCAACAAAAGGAAAAGGGAGAAGACACATATTTAAACTTAAAAACGTATGTTGCTAATAAACTACATTACTTGTACTTTTATTTTCTACTTGCTGAATTTCTACATTTGACACCTGTCTAATATCTCTTACAGCCCATCAAAGCACCAGAATCTGTAGCAACAATCATCACATCAGAATCTATATTTTATAAGGTTTGATGTTTGAACTGACCAAGCTAATTGTCATTTCTTCTGCCTTGTGTTGTGAATTATCATAGTATAATCAGGGCCTGTGTACTGTATGTGTCCTCAGGGTGTCTATTACCAGGTAGGTGATGTGATCAAGGTGATAGATGAGGAGGATGGGAAGTCATACTACGCTCAGATCCGAGGATTTGTGCAAGACCAGTACTGTGAGAAGAGTGCAGCGCTAACGTGGCTCATTCCCACTCGGGCCAGCCCAAACGATCAGTTTGATCCTGGAACGTACATTGTTGGTAAGCAAATGTGCACAAAACCACTTTTCTTGAAGCAGAATTTGTTTGAAATTGGCTTAAAGATTCACGTTTTGTTTCAGGTCCAGAGGAGGATCTTCCCAGAAAGATGGAGTATCTGGAGTTTGTGTGTCACGCCCCATCGGAGTACTTTAAGTCCCAGAGCTCCCCGTTCCCCACCATACCCGTTTGTCCTGAAAAAGGCTACATCTGGACTCACATAGGACCCACACCAGCACTCACTGTCAAAGAGTCTGTCAGCAGCGCCAGTTAACAGACCTCTGATATGAACTTATTCTGTTGTATTGAAACAAGTGAATGTACATTTATGTGTTATAAAGAAAACAGTTGTAAACTGCAGCTATTACTCAAGTTTAAAGGCAAGAGGCAATTTGATCCAAGACACGCCATGTGTATTGGCAATGTAAGCAAGTTTATATAGGTAAAACATTGGAATAATAATTTTGTATTTGATAATAAACAGTAATAGTTATTTCCAGCATTCATTTTGCCTGTTATTTTTCAAAATATTAAAGTGAACAAAAGTAGGGGCACCCATCCGTTGTCTTTACCCACTTTTTCCTTTTTTGGGTCGGGGGGTCATTGTGTGAGAGGTTGAGTACATCCGGGACAGATCTCCAGTCAGTCACAGGGACACGGAGACGATCATTCACTCTCTCACTCACACCTAGGGACAATTTAGAGTTATCAATCAGTGTAACATGCATGCTTTTGGTCTGTGGGAGGAAACCGGAGTACCTGGAGAGAATCCACACATGCACAGAGAGAACATGCAAACTCTGCCCAGAAAGGGCCCCCAGCCGGGATTTGAGCCAGCAACCTTCTCGCTGAGAGGCAACAGCTCTACCAACTGATCCACTGTGCAGCCAAGTAGCGGCACCCCTAATTTTTTTTTTGTTTTACAGTAAATATAAGAAAATATGCTACTTCCAGAATAATATTAAAAAATGACAAATTTGACAATTGATTATTAGGCAAATTTTTACTTTATTTACATATTTTAATTTTTTTTAATAATGGCCTGATTGGGAAAAGGGTTATACAGGTCCTTCTCAAAAAATTAGCATATTGTGATAAAGGTCATTATTTTCCATAATGTAATGATAAAAATGAAACTTTCATATATTTCAGATTCATTGCACACCAACTGAAATATTTCAGGTCTTTAATTGTTTTAATACTGATGATTATGGCATACAGCTCATGAAAACCCAAAATGCCTCTCCCAAAAAATTAGCATATCATGAAAAGGTTGTCTAAACAAGCTATTAACCGAACCATCTGAATCAACGACGTAACTCTAAACACCTGCAAAAGATTCCTGAAGCTTTTAAAAACTCCCAGCCTTGTTCAATACTCAAAACCGCAAACATGGGTAAGACTGCCGACCTGACTGCTGTCCAGAAGGCCATCATTGACACCCTTAAGCAAGAGGGTAAGACACGGAAAGAAATTGCTGAACGAATAGGCTGTTCCCAGAGTGCTGTATCAAGGCACCTCAGTGGGAAGTCTGTGGGAAGGGAAAAGTGTGGCAGAAAACGCTGCACAACGAGAAGAGGTGACCGGACCCTGAGGAGGATTGTGGAGAAGGGCCGATTCCAGACCTTGGGGGACCTGTGGAAGCAGTGGACTGAGTCTGGAGTAGAAACATCCAGAGCCAGCGTGTGCAGGAAATGGGCTACAGGTGCCGCATTCCCCAGGTCAAGCCACTTTTGAACCAGAAACAGCGGCAGAAGCGCCTGACCTGGGCTACAGAGAAGCAGCACTGGACTGTTGCTCAGTGATCCAAAGTACTTTTTTCAGATGAAAGCAAATTTTGCATGTCATTCGGAAATCAAGGTGCCAGAGTCTGGAGGAAGACTGGGGAGAAGGAAATGCCAAAATGCCAGAAGTCCAGTGTGAAGCACCCACAGTCAGTGATGGTCTGGGGTGCCATGTCATCTGCTGGTGTTGGTCCACTGTGTTTTATCAAGGACAGGGTCAATGCAGCTAGCTATCAGGAGATTTTGGAGCACTTCATGCTTCCATCTGCTGAAAAGCTTTATGGAGATGAAGATTTCATTTTTCAGCACAACATGGCACCTGCTCACAGTGCCAAAACCACTGGTAAATGGTTTACTGACCATGGTATTACTGTGCTCAATTGGCCTGCCAACTCTCCTGACCTGAACCCCATAGAGAACCTGTGGGATATTGTGAAGAGAAAGTTGAGAGACGCAAGACCCAACACTCCGGATGAGCTTAAGGCCGCTATCGAAGCATCCTGGGCCTCCATAACACCTCAGCAGTGCCACAGGCTGATTGCCTCCATGCCACGCCGCATTGAAGCAGTCATTCATGTAAAAGGATTCCCAAACAAGTATTGAGTGCATAACTGAACATGATTATTTGAAGGTTGGTGTTTTTTGTATTAAAAACACTTGTCTTTCATTGGTGGGATGAAATATGCTAATTTTTTGGGACAGGCATTTTGTGTTTTCATGAGCTGTATGCCATAATCATCAGTATTAAAACAATTAAAGACCTGAAATATTTCAGTTGGTGTGCAATGAATCTGAAATATATGAAAGTTTCATTTTTGTCATTACATTATGGAAAATAATGACCTTTATCATAATATGCTAATTTTTTGAGAAGGACCTTTATTTTTTCTGATAAATGTTTGCTGTCTAATCAGTTTTGTTTTATTTTAATGAACACAAAATGTTGCTCATTTCTGGAGACGGCTTGTTTCTTTTAGTTATAAGATTATCTGATTATTTTATGGATCAATGCAGACATAACCAGACGTGTTGAAATGTTGCTCCTATTTTTCTGAGGCAACGGTCCTTAACAGACACCATGCTCCGACGAAGGACATGAGACAGCTGCTTCTATTTATAACTCGGTGCTCTTACCTATCACAAGACCCTCCATGCTCTGCTCGACCACAGCTAAACACAATCCAGGACGAGTTCACCACTAAAGGCTGGCACATCAACAAAGCAGAAGCTACATAGAAGAAACACCGGAACAAGGACCTGGATGAAAGCAGCGCTCATCATCAAACAGGAAACCTTATAACCTGAAGCAGCTGCTTCATAAAACCAGAGAACATGAAGTCGCTGCGCTTCCTTGCAGCCGAGGGCTTCGTCCAGACTGGTTCGAATGCTCTAAGGGACCTTGGCTGTGTGTCGTTTAACCTCTACCCACTTCTCTTCAAGGCCTGCTACCTGAATGAAAAGGCCGAACTGCTGCGTGCTTTGGTCCAGACATGGCCTCTTCCAGAGCTCAGCATGCAAAGGCTCCTGGGGAAGTCCACAGACTGTCAGGTGGACCTCACCTCCTGCACCTGCCGGCTGTGTCTACAAGCTGTTCTAACAGGTCTAAAGGTACCTGAATGGGTTTTACCCATTTCTTTTTATTTAATACATATTTTTAGGTTAAATAAATAGCTTAAATTATTCTCTTTTTCCTCTAAGGATTATGTGCTATCTCCTCCAAGAACTTATGCCAAGACTTTGCATGTGGTGGACCTGACTGCTCTTAAAGACACTGAGCATCAATCCTGTCCATGCAAGTCTTCTCTGGGTCGATGGGCCAGAACCCAGCTCCTGACCGAGATGTGCTATGAGACATTGGTGGCCATGCAGGCCAGCGAGGTGGCCCAATCTTCCTTTGACACATCCATTGACATCCGTCTGAACGGCTTTGTCACAGGGCGCAACTATGAGCTGGTAGCACAGGCCTTCCTGCTCCTCCGGTACTGTCCCCTGAAGCTTCGCTTCGTCAGTTTTAGAGCCGATTCCCTCTCTCTCAAGCAGCTGTTCTACGTTCTTCGCCTGGCGGAGCCTGAGTTCATCACAAAGCTGGAGGTAGTCCATAATGTTCCCCTGGAGGCCATGCACCTGGAGGTGCTCCTGTCCAGGGTGGAGTTCCCAAAATTACAGTCTCTAACGCTGCCAGCGGGGGCGCTGGATGTCAGAAAGTTGGGTTCTGACGAGGAGGATCTCCTGACAACTATTGGTAACCTGCTGGGACACATCAGCAGCCTCACTGAGCTTTATGTGGGGTTCTCCACACTCACTGGACACCTTCGAAGACTGCTATAGTGAGTATAGTAAGGTCAACAAGGTCACTGGCTTCAGGTGTGGATCACTCATGACTGACTAGACTACTTGTAGATTTTGGCCTGAGTGTCATAGGACGGTCCAGCTTCAGGCTCATGTTTAATGACAGGAGGAACTTTGTGTTAAAATTACTGACAGGATGCCAGACGGCTGCAGGCCACCAGCAACTGGACTGATGTTCTGAACACCTGAAGTAGAAATAAAGCAGGAGACAAAAACCTAAATAAGTCAAAGGACTGGCATTCTTTGAAGGAATTCATATCCCTTGCTGCCCTTCATGTCAAAGTTTTAGACTAAGATCATCTTATGTAGAAAATAGTCATTTTGGTCAAATGTAGTGTTATGCACAAACCAATTATCGCAAGCAAGATGTCACACTCAGGTGTTGTGAATGACTCTCAGCTACTACTATGGTAAATTTTAGAACAGTAGATGCAAAACTGACTGAATTCTGGGGATTTTTGTTTCTTTAGGAGTTTGTTGTGGCAGCCATCTTAAACTGGGTTGGCTCTAAAAGTTAAATCAGTTGCAGATGTACATCCAAGATTCATTGGTACCACTTTACAAAAGGCTCCCCTTATAGATGGCTAATAGATGTTATTAATTCCTCTATAAATCCCACTTTATAAATCATTAATAACTGCTTATTGTGCATTAATTAACGGTAATAACTGACCAGTTTCTTGCGAAATAGTGATCCAAATCTGTTCACCTATATATTTCATATAGATGTTACATTAAACATTTCAGACTAAGTTACTACCTTGAAAGCACTATAAATCGTTGTAAACCTATTTCTTTAGGATATATTAGTTGTAGATACTTATAAAGCAGTGATAAAGTACAATATTACATGCTTAGATTTACAAATGCGTATTGTGCTCTAGATGAAATATGTAGGTGAACAGATTTGTCTCACTATTTGGCAAGAAACTGCTCAGTTTTGTCTCTGTCTTAATGCATAATAAGCAGTTATTAATGATTTATAAAGTGTTCATAGAGGAATTAACATCTTATAAACTATTAGCCATCTATAAGGGGAGCCTTATTGTAAAGTGGCAGATTAATTTTTATAAGAAAAAACATCTCAAATCATGTTTTGTAGACAAATGCACAAAAAGTTTTATTGTCCACCTTCACCTTTCGACAGCAGGTGATAAAGGTTGTGTTTACAGAGCAGATGATTTAAGCATTTATAATTATGTTCTTGTTATCCCAAGAGATTTAATTTTCCAACCATTTTTTTGGGGGAAAAAAAATCGCATTTTCCTCACAATGACACAAAACCCACATAAATAAGTTTAAATATAATCTGTAATAGTTTTTAGCTTTTCAGAACTAAAAATTGTTTTCTTTATCCAGTCCACTCAACACACCACTTCAGCGCCTGGAGCTGGCCAACTGCTGCCTGAACCGCGTGGACATGACCTACCTGTCCAACAGCCTCCACAGCGAGGCCTTCTCTCACCTGGACATCAGCGGACATGACATCTTCAGCTCTTTCCCCACCGCCTTCCACAAACTGCTGAGCCGCTGCTCAGCGACCGTGACGAGTCTCACTCTCGAGGAGTGTGACATCACAGAGGAACACGTACCCGCCCTCATTAACGCCCTGTCTCCCTGTCAGGAACTGGAGGAGCTGAAACTTCTGGGGAATCCTCTCACCTCTGCAGCCCTGCGGAGGTTATTCTCCACACTGTCTGCAGGGTTTCCAAAGTTAAAGTACATAGAGATGCCTGTACCGCGCGAGTGCTACTCCGAGGATGTCACTTATCCTCTGGAAGAGTCAGTGTTGCTGCACTACAACAAGGACCTGTTTCAGGAGATCAGGAGCCAACTTTTGGGCATCTTAGAGGGAGCAGATAGAGGAAGAGTGGAGGTGTGCACCCCGCTCATGGGAACCTATGATCCTGACATTCACGAAACCAACAATGAACTCGGGGTTTCCATGTTAAAATCTTTTTACAAAGTTATTGGGAACTTTATAGGTGCCATAAATGACGTAGACAACAGGAGATCACAAGCTCAAAGTTATAACTGATGAGGTTTTCTGTGTATAAGTCTTGAGCTCATGTTTTGTACATAAATCTAGTGTTTCAAGTGAAACAAATCTTCTGATTGTGAATTATAGGTTGACTGTAGGTTTTTCCTGTATAGGTCAATGTTTTAAGTTTAATATTTTTTGTGTAAATTATCACTAAATTTATTTAACTACACTGTCACTTATCTGTCCTTGATCAAGAGCCAACACTGAACATAGTTATGTTGATTAAGAGATGGGTTAGTAATGTCTACTACACATTTGTACAAAAATTATTTTTGTGTCGTAACAATAAATTCATTATCCAAAATTTAAACGGAGGCTTCCACTTTCCAAAATGCGTTTTTATTAAGCATTGTTTTATTATAGGTTATGTTTCATATTAAACCTTTACATATTACACCAGGGGAGGGTCACGCACCAACCTAAGACAAGATCAACACAAGGAAATGTCTTATTTCTTCATCCATTCTTCTCTTTCTTTCCTCTCACGGATCACCTCATCCAGGTATGGTTCCAGGTAAAGGACTTCCTGAGAGGAGAAAAAAAATGGAATAAATAAAATAAGATTGTGAGTCAAATCTAGTGGGACTGCATATATAATTTATATAAAATCAAAACTTTATAAAATAATTTCCCACTTTAGTAGTTTCCACACTGAACAACATCCATTTATGCAAAGAGTAAACGAGATTTCACACAATTATCTTTTTTAATAAATCCCACACTTAACAAAATGCATGTTAAGCTATTCTCTTGTGGACATACTTTTTCATATTTTGTCCACTCCTCTTTTGGGAGAATCCGGTGCTTCATGCTGAGATGCATCGCCCTAGTGATCCTGAAGAGCCTCTCGTTATAAACGTCCTCAGGAAGCCTCTTCAGGGCCTCTTTCACATCCTGATCCTCGTAAAATGTGTCATTGTACATTAGGCCTGCAACAGAAGACACATTTACTGAACTATGTAAAATTCAAAATGGAAAATTAACATTATTTCAAGACGACTGTTACCGTTTACCAATATTAAAGAAATGTTTCATAAAATATTATGCCAAGTAGAACCATACAAACTAAAGGAAAAGTGCCAGTTGTAACAATGGACAAGGACTTGTGTCAAGTTTACTGTCCTTGTTTAAATCTGTTGTTGTCACTTGGATCTTAAAGTTTTTTTTTTTTTTTTTTCCACAGATATTCTTACCTGGGATTAAATTTATTCGACCTCTAAGTCTCTGTTTATGATTGTCTTTACTTGAGTCAAACTTGTGTGTTTCTGTTATCAACATACATACTTTACTGCCAATATTCATTTTGTCTATTCTTTTATTTTAGTATGTAATTTAATGGCCAGGACTTGACTTACCAAGTTTGTTGAAGCCGCACAAGTTGTAATACGATATCCTGATATTCTCCACAACCTTCCTTGCAGCCACTGTGAACATTAAATAAACACAAATTTAAAAATTTATCAAAGAAACAGAGAATATATTAAATAAAACCTTAACATGATCAAAGTGGACTCCAGGGAGGTAAATATTTAAGTCATTAAATGACATACTAAATAAGATGTGAGGTTTTATTTCCATAAATGATTAAATGAGTAGAACATCTTCTCTCGTACCAATTAGTCGTTTTTAACCCATATATGTCCAACTTTATTCTGACATTAGCCTTAGCCTAGCCGACACTCATGAATAGCATATTAACCAAAACACTGTCATCACAAACAAATAGTAACCTGACAGCACACTTAAACAATGGGCTCACTGTACTGTGACTGCATAATATTCAAAGTTTAAATTAAATATAATCTGTGATTTCTTTCATGACGAATGCGAAGCTAACATTAGCTGTCCTGTTAGCATCGGTTAGCACGGGGGCAAAGAGGACGCACATTTAAATGCTCCACGAAGTTCCATTCAAAAATCGAAAACCCAAATAACACAACGCGTTGCCTTAAGGCCGTACACAGCTCTTATTTCAATGTCAAACAGAGACGTTTACAGGTTTAAAAAGAAAAAAATAAACCTACATTTGATTGACCCCGTAATAGACATATACGCCATTATGATTACAGGGCTCTGTACTTGCTCTGGTTACCACTACAAGTAAGCGCGATGCCTTATGGGTAAAAGGTTCTTCTTCTTCTTCTTCATCTTCTTCTTCTTCTTCTTTTGGTTTTTATTGGCGGTTGGCAACCAACTTAAGGAGCATTTACCGCCACCTACCAAACATGTATATATGCCCACCCTGACCCTCACTAAATTACTTGTATGAATATGCAGCGGCAGACTCAT